TTGGACGGATTTGACACGTGCTTCAGAACGCGGTCACGCAAGGGCGTTCCCAAAGTGACTCGACGCAGCGTCTCGTTCCCTCGGGGAACCATGGTTACATACGTAACCTAGAGACGTTATATAATACTATTAAAATAAATAAATTATAATTTTGTTTAATTTTACATTTTTATTTTAAATAAAATTAAAAATTCTATATTTTTAAAAAAATAATTTACTTTTTATTTTGTGGAAAAAAAATTCAAATATTAACATTTAAAAAAAAAAATTCATTGCATTCAATCTATTCCTCTGTCGCTGAACCATTTTGAGAGAAAGTTTGGAGGTGTCCCAATGTTCAATAGGTATAGCTAACAAAGTAAGGGAGGACAGATCGAATGCTTGAACTGAGATTTAAAATCAGCACTTTTGTGCGTCAAACACGTTTGCGGCCTGAGTTGGGTTCGTCCTGTGATGTTTTGATGAAAACTTGACTGTTTTGGTCTCCTCTAGGATTTTTGCTCTCTTGCCATGAAAAGCATAACCAGAGTACAGCCAAAAGGCACGGCCACCATATTGTTAGCGCTCTACCCCTGGGAAACAGCCCAGCACCAGTTTTTGCACTTCAAAATTATGCAGAGCCTTGTTTTTTATGTGGGGGGGGGGGGGGAGTGGATGCATGAGCGACGCTAGGAGAGAAAGGTTAAAGAATTAAGTTTGTTTACCGAACATCCCCGGGCTACTGGGACAACACAAACCAGCCGAGGCCTTGGGCGTCCTGGCAGGCCTCAACCCTTGGAGAGCCCCGGCCTTTTACTTGGCACTCAGAACAGCTGGAGAGAGAGGGTTTCTCATAATACACCCCTTCAATTATCCCAAATTCAATAAAAACCTCGGTTTGTGGGCTAAAATGATACAATATTAAATCACAGCAATTTTTTGGAAAGGCCTAGCATCCAAAATACGCCTCTTAGTTGTGCTCAGCTGAGAAGGCTTCTGATTCTCTTGTTTTTCTAGGCCCGCTTTTATTCTCAATCACACAAATGTATGCAGTTTAATTGCTACAGCTGAGTAAAAGCTATGTGAACCCTTGGATTTACCATGTACTTCTGTATAAATTGGTCATATAGTCCATTTGTTTCACCATCGACTGATGAATATCAAGGATTATGGAAATGTTTTAACACTCTTCAGTCTTATGCAAGTTCTTAATGTTCTGTAATGTTTAACAGTTCTTAAATTAAGATATCTTTTTCCAGGCATGGATCAGGCAATGCTTGTTGCAAACAGAAAAAAATACAAATTTTTTGAGTTTATATAGCAGTACAGCTCTGTCCATTACCTCCAATCTGGTCACTATGGAAGTCAGTGGCTATGTCAACTGTTCCTTTTTTATTATTTTATTATTATTATTATTATTATTATTTGTACTTATTAAACAGACAACACAATTTGGTAATGATACATTACTAAAGCAGTTGTAAATGTTTTACGGAATACACTCCCTCATCTCTGCACTAACAAAATGTACAGCACTTTACATGTACTACCAGATTACATTTAATATCTAATCAAGTTAACTGAATGATGGGATATGCTTAGCCTCAAATAGTGTGTTGGAAGTGTGGATAGTTTTTATTAATCTTTTGAATTAGCTATTATTTTTATATTTTCAGTTTTAATTTGAATTTTAGTTTATAGTCATTTTGTTATGTGCTTTTGTCATTTCTATTTAGGTTTAATTTAGTTTCAGTTAAAGTTTTAGTTCAGTTTTAGTTTTTATGTACTTCTAATTAGCATTTTATTGCTTCAACTTAAACTTATTTCACTTAATTGCTAAGGCAACATTTCTAATTTTCATTTAGTTTAAGTTTTATTTGATTTCAGCTCAACAAACACATTTTAATAATAGTTTAATAATAGTTCTAGTTAACGATAATAAACCTGCTATGAATGTTTACACAGTATGCTCAATAAAGACGTGAAAACATATGTTTGTGTGTTGTTTGTTAAAGCCAACTGTGATTTGTTGTGACTTGGTTGCCAATTTTATGACCAGTTTATGCACAAAACCGTGGTAAATTCAAGGGTTCACTTATTTTTTCCCCCTGCATCTGTAGCTGCATTTACAAACCTGACAGTTCTATTTATTGTATTTACCTAACCTTATCTCTTTATTTTTAATTTAAGGTCACCGTTTTGAGGACAATCCTGGGGTTAGACGTCACCTCGTCAAGAAATCATCACGCTGTCAAGTACCACGAACCAGCAATAGCTCACCTCTGTCCAGTCTGAAGAGGAGGAAGAGGATGGACAAGAAAACTCATGAGGTGAGAGCTGATCTTCCCAACCGCACAGAGAAAATAAAAATGAGACCTAGTTTCACACAGCCAGACGTACAGTGTGCTCCACATTATAACTTATTCTTGCTCACTTAGACGAAAGACTGACTAAAATGTAAACCGACCAAACACAGTTTGTTTTGTTTTTACATGCCATTTATGAGCAGATTCATCAATAATAGAACAGTGTGGAAAAATTATTCAAATAATAACTTGGCAGACTCTCACAATGATGTAGTAAACTGGCCAAAAATGTGTATTGATTTTGAGATCCTGTCTTGTTCCTCAAGAGGAAGCTCTAAGTAAAGCCTCTGTCTCCCCCAGACTGACACTGATTATGATAATGATGTAGTGTTAATTGAGACAATCGATGTGGAGGAGCAGGAGAGACCCTCGATTCAGTGATCTTTCCTTTGCTGATATCTATTGATCCGTTTCATCCAGTGGGCTTCAATAAACGGGTGAAAGCAGTGTCTCTAAATCAGCTGGATTAATTACATAAGGTTCTTAGTCAGTCAACACTGGAGTCTGGGCTATTCATGTGGCTCTGAATCAACCGGTGTGAGGAGAATCAGTCTCACTGGATTTCAGGGCTCATCTAGGTGCGTAAAATATGTCTCAAAAGTCCTCCATAGAGCACATCAGTGTGCTTTTTAAGCACCTTGGTTCCAGAAGCAGTTTGTTTCCCTTTGTGGGTATTTTAAGAGTTTCTTCAGTAAATGATTCTTCAACTAAAACAATGAGCAGAGATGAATCAACATGAATTGTGATTCGAAGCAAAAGCTATTTAGATGAAGTATTAATTTTTTTTTTTTGATTTTTATAATTAAGGCAATAATATACTCTCACGTTGCAAATGATATAATCAGATTAGAATTTTCAGTGCAATATACAATTATTTATTTATAGTAATTTACTTTTTTTGCTTAAATTGTATCTTAATATTTTGAATGATCTTTTATTTTTGTATTTTCATCTTTGTTACTTGTAGTAATTTTGTTAGTTTTTTTATTTTTTATTTAGCCTTAATTTGCTGTAAGTGGTTGTAGTTTAGTAATTTTACTATGTCAACTTAAACTTATTTTGTTGAATTTACTTGCTTTTTGTCAAGTTTAAGAAGAAGTTGTACATGTTATATTTATATTTTGGTTTATTTCAGCTTTATTTTAGTTAACAAAAAATATTTTTTAAATAGTTTTATGTTTAGCTTACAAAAACGATGCTGATTTGCTTAGTCATAAGTGTAAAATACCAAATATTTCTGAATATATTTATAACTTTTATTGCTAAATGTTTAATCGTATACACAGATATAAGTAGTTGGTGAGTAAAGGGAGACTGATTCGATTATGTCATTTGCAATGCTTCATGGTATGGTTGGTAACTTCTCTGATTGGTTGTCATCTTTTTAGGATTGCTGGTTGCATAGCTCTTAACACTGAGAATTCGGTAATGAAACCTTCATAAAACTTTTGTTTTATGAAACTGAAATTGACTGAAATCTCATTGACTTGTGGCTTCAGCAGAAGTGTAAATCATCACGTAACAACCTCGGTGCTCACGGTAGGTCTGTCTTGAAAGGCTTTCAGTCATTTTGATAGATCCATCACCTGTGTTTTTACTTTAGAATGGAAAATACTAAAACGAAAGAAGATTTATGATATCGCTGCCATACTTTGTTTGCAAAATATTTCAGTCTTGCTCCCCTTCCATCCCGAGCTGTACTTGTTTGCCTATTTCCTAGAAATTAGCTCCCGGGGAGCATTTCCATGATGGCCGCCAAGTGAAATGAATTGCCTCGAAGTAACTTTGGTTAGGATTCATTACAAGTGCTTTATGATGTGCGTTTGACACAGTGTTCTCTGTAGGTGTTTGTGGAGCTCAATGAGCTGATAGTGGATAAGAACCAGGAGATGCGCTGGAAAGAGACGGCACGTTGGATCAAGTTTGAGGAAGACGTGGAGGCAGAGACGGATCGCTGGGGTAAACCGCATGTGGCCTCGCTGTCCTTCCGTAGCCTGCTGGAGCTCCGCAGGACCATCACACATGGTAAGAGTCGACTGCTTTGCCAGCCCACTCAGAGCCTGTGATCCAGGTCCAATCCTAACATCCACGCACTTGACAAACCAGTGCTTTATGACTGACAGAATTCAACTGGACACTTAACACGGTAGGTCTGTCTTGAAAGGCTTTCAGTCAGTTTGATAGATCCATCACCTGTGTTTTTACTTTAGAATGGAAAATACTAAAACGAAAGAAGATTTATGATATCGCTGCCATACTTTGTTTGCAAAATATTTCAGTCTTGCTCCCCTTCCAACCCGAGCTGTACTTGTTTGCCTATTTCCTAGAAATTAGCTCCCGGGGAGCATTTCCATGATGGCCGCCAAGTGAAATGAATTGCCTCGAAGTAACTTTGGTTAGGATTCATTACAAGTGCTTTATGATGTGCGTTTGACACAGTGTTCTCTGTAGGTGTTTGTGGAGCTCAATGAGCTGATAGTGGATAAGAACCAGGAGATGCGCTGGAAAGAGACGGCACGTTGGATCAAGTTTGAGGAAGACGTGGAGGCAGAGACGGATCGCTGGGGTAAACCGCATGTGGCCTCGCTGTCCTTCCGTAGCCTGCTGGAGCTCCGCAGGACCATCACACATGGTAAGAGTCGACTGCTTTGCCAGCCCACTCAGAGCCTGTGATCCAGGTCCAATCCTAACATCCACGCACTTGACAAACCAGTGCTTTATGACTGACAGAATTCAACTGGACACTTAAAATAGATAAATGAATTAAACCTTGTTGGGCATATCCACTTTTCGACCATGAAACATTTATGATTTTCAATGCAAGGATAACAAGGTAAACCGTGCATTAGTTGTGAAAAAGCATGACAGAAATATTCAGTCCAAACACATCAGTGAGAATGTTTTGGTAAGTTTAGTTCCTGTGGTTGTGGAGCTAACATGACAACCCTGACAAACGGCATCTTTCATGGATGACAGTGATAGACTGAGGTTTTTCAAAAACATGAAAAAAGTACTGTGGTCATGTAGAAGTAGGCGGCATGATCATAATATGAGTAGTTTAATATCACCTAACAGTATATGTCATGATATAGTTGTTTTTGTTGAACATTTGATTGAAAAATGTTCAATCAACATGTTTATATATTGTACAACTATGTGGTGCAGTGTTTACAATATCTAATATTCTGATGAATTAAATACTTTACAAATGCAAGCTACTTTGATTATTTCCTCCTTTTATTTGCAACTTGAAGGACCAAACATTTATTTATGTAACCAGAAGATTATTCATAACAAATGAATGAATAAGTCTGGCATCAGTACAAAAACAGCTTCACGTTATGTAACACTTCAGTTAAAAACTATTTAATTAGAATAGTGAAGCTAATATTATAAAACTGATAGTTCTGGCTCTAAATTATGTTTGGTATGGTATAAATAATATAGCATAAACCATATATACTGTCATAACATCATAATACTATAGTACTTTGATTAGCCTACCTTAACCTTGATATTACAATGGTATGTTCAAATAAAAAATAGGGTATTTCCATTGTGCTGTACTAAAATATCATGATACTTTCTAAATACAATCATTCAGTATATATAAACTATAGTTTAGTGTAAGTTTTAGCTAGCTTTATGCTGTTATTGTCATTTTATTATTTTTTAATTGTTAGCTTCAATTTATATTTATTTCAGTTTTAGTCATTTTAGTACTTCAAACTTTTCAATTGTTTATGTTTAATTTAAAATAGTTATATTTAACTTAAGCTTTATTTGAGTTAAAATAGTTTTAACACACACACACACACACACACACACACACACACACACACACTTGTGAAAAGTGGGGACATCCCATAGGCGTAATGGTTTTTAGTTGTGGTTTACTTCTACATGACCACGTATTATTGTATCTCCTTGTATAGAGCTATCATATGATTTCAGAAGACTTGGAGGATAGTGCACACGTTACTTTGCCTATTTTTTGTTCTTTTTTGGAGATTGGCCATATAAATCACCATGCATTCAACATATTAATTTTGTTTCTTCATGTAAAAACATATAATGCAGGGTCAGAATGACATGAGGGTGAGTTTTCGATTTTAGGGAAATTATCCCTTTAACTAATTTAAGTTAATGCTATGTAAATGCAGTATTTAGTATGGCTCAGACAGGCCTCTTTTCTTGAAGGATTGTGAAGTGCCATGTGTTTTCTTTGTTAAGCTCTGCTCAGCCTCTGGATCTCGCTCTGAGGTCAGAACCGTACTCTACCTGAGTGCTAACAGAATTAATATTGCATGGCCCCCGCTACAGAAATCTGGGCTGCATTAATGGTTTGAAGCAGTACCTTTTCTAACCACATTTGTATTAATATCACAGAATATATTCATACAATGGCTCCAGAAAGTTTGGGGCACTCAAGGCATACTTAAAAATGTGTGAATGTCATTGCATTAGATACATATTAAGTGGAATCAACCAACAAATTATGCTTTTCTCTGGACTATCTTTAGTTTCCTGTGCTATTTTTTACAATGACTTTTAATTAACTGATTTTACAGTGATTTGTAGTGGTTGAAACTTATTTGTGAATATTTTTTGCTTGATGCTTATATTTTGCTTATATACATGCTATTTAGTTCGTTTTTTGTTATATGCTATCATTCAAATTTTAAGGTCGCTTTTAAGATGGGTTTTTTTTTTTCAAATAAGAAAAACGTATTCCACTAGGATGCATTAAATCAAAAGAGAGAGTAAAGACGTTTATAATGTTACACAATTTTCTATTTCAAATAAATCCTGTTCTTTTGAACTTTCTATTCATCAAAGAATCCTGAAAAAAAAAATGCATCACACTTTCCACAAAAGAATAGTTTCTTAAGCAAATCAGCATTTATTTCTGAAGAATCATGTGACACTGAAGACTGAATTAAAGGCTGCTAAAACATGACTGCAAAACACGTTTATACATTTTTTTAGGTCTGGTTTGAATGTTCAAGTAATTCTTGGGACCGCTGTGTATGTTTGATTAAAAATGAATATGCGTTTTGGAGTTTTAAACATTTATTCTTGTTCCTAGGCTAAAACTAACAAACACCTTAAATTGTTACCTATATATTAAGGATAACAATTGTAGGCATCTCTTTTTTCATTGAGTGCAACAAAAGTTTAAAAACCAGTTGTGCTTTTATATCATTTAAGGGACGTTGGAACAGCTCAGAGATGCGTATTTGTGGTCAGCTAGAGGGATTCATGTGCCAGGCTATAAAACATGCACACAGTCAAACATGATGAAGTCAAAAAACTAGATCTCTAGCATTTCCCATCATCTCTGATACAGTTTTTAATGAGAAAACCTGTCAAATTAGTCGCAAAAAATGTCTTTGTAATGTGGAAAAACAAAATACATCAAGGTGCTCTAAGTTAGGTCATTAGTTACTCAAGTTTTTGGAATCGTTTTCAAACATAATTCAATGTCACACCTTGTCTCTTTGTTTGCGAACCTTTCAGTGACCAGTTTGGCTGGAGCATAACAAGATCTCAAATGAGACTTAATGAGTGTGTCGAAGTCAACCACTGGACACGGTTGCGGTGACGTGTGTGACAAAGCTTGGCAGTCACTCTTTATTCTTCACTTTTTTCAGGATTCATAGAAGCACACAGAACAAACCAAAATTTGTATTTTGTGAAAAACAAAGGCATGTATTAATTCATTGGACTCCCTCTGTGGTCGATTTTAAGAGTTCGTATTCTGTTTAAATATTCCCTGATGTTATCTAGCCACATGTTGCTTTTCGGTTGTCTTTAGCATTTTTTACTGATTGCTTTGGCACGTGTTTCTTTGAGCGAACAGGGAATGTGGTTTGGTTTTGCAGTTTGGATTCTGATATCCTGACATGTTGGGTTTTTTGTTTGCTTTGCAAATATTGCAAGCGAAGATGGAAAACGGCCTTTTTGGACATTGATAAGCAAGGAAATTGCTGTACCCATGGAGCTATATAAACACGAGAGCAGGGATATTTGTCTCACAGAGGAGAACAGATGGACTCGAATAGCTTGACAGATTAATGAAGTCATAACATCTTCACTATTAAAGGCATAGTTCACCCAAAAAGAAAAAATGTGTTATTTATTCACCTTCTTGTCATATGACCCATATTAACTCATGTTCTTCTGTTAAAAAAGGGGGTATTTTTTATGTCATGGCTGCTGTTTTAGTTTAATAAAGGTGAATGACAATATTGTGACAAACAAAACATCATAAATTGAGGATGAATAAATAAGAATTTTCATTTTTGGCTAAACTACTTTGTCCCTTTAATGCCAGATGATTATAGGATAGAGAGGGATAGAGAGTTTGTGTTGCAAAAAAAAATTCTGTTAATCTGTATTTTCACCCATCCCCCCCCCCACAATATTTTTTTCTTCTTTAAAGCATAAACCTCACTATATGTTTGAAGACAAAAATACTGATCAATATATATATATTTTTCTTTTTAATGTGGGTGCATTTTACATTCTTACATGAAAAATTGCTCACTAGTTTTATCAAAATCCTTTCTCTTGTCCAGTCACCCCAATGATGAGAAAGAAGGCCTTTTCCATCGGAACCACTCTGTCAACAGTCTGGGCGGCTTTCGTCACAACCACAATCACGTTCACGACACCAGCCTGCCCCTGGTATCCCAGGACCACGAGGAGATGCACGACAGCAAAGCGGCAGAACATGATAAAGAGGTGTTTGTGACATTATTAGTGAGTCGCTTGCTTCTTGTGTGCATGTTTTATAAAGGACGCAGTCTTCTAGATAATTACCACCCAAGTTTATTGGGCCGAAGGTAGTCACCAGGAGGACACCATCTTTGACTTTTGTGGTTGCACTTGGTCTCTTCAGGGTGGATTTCTCTGGAGGCCTGCACCCAAGAGATGGGATGTAAATGTTTGGTGGGTTACAAGCAGCCCTACTGAGAAAAAGATAGCTTAGACTAGCCTACTTGTTGGTCTTAGTTGACCATAGATCTGGTCAGGCTGGTTTGTTTTGATCGTTTTAGAGGGGTTTGAATGCTTGTCAGCTGGGCTAACCAACAAAACCAACTGAACATCAACTTGTAAAACCAGCTTAACCAGTTTTAACCAACCTAAGATAGCCACTTTAAGGCCCACACAGTATTTAACACATTTTACCCTGTTTAAATACATTATACAGAATCCCACAGGTTTTCAGCTAAATCAAATGATTTTCTTACTCAGTATTTTGTCTTTTCCATTTCAAATATTTAAAATACATTTATTTGAGGAGCAAATTTACATAAGATATTAAGTCTTGTTTTCTTGAAAAAAAAAGAAAAAGTAGTTTGCTTGCAACAAGAAAAAATCTGCCAGTTGGGTAAGAAAAATAAACACATTTTTCTTTTTGAATTAAGTTTTTTTTTTTTTACCCCATTGGCAGAGATTTCTTCTTATTTTAAAGGGGTCATATGATGCTATTTTAAAGATCACTATTTTGTGTATCTGGTGTAACAGAATATGCTGACATGCTTTAATGTTCAAAAAACACATTATTTTTCAAATACTGTACATAATTGTAGGTCCTCTATGCCCCGCCTCTCTCAAACACGTCGTTTTCAACAAAGCCCCCTCATTTGACAAGCGCAGTCTGCTCTGATTGGCCAGCTGACCCGGTGCATTGTGATTGGCCGAACACCACAAGCACGCGTCGGAAATGTAACGCCCCTTACGATAATCGCGAGTTTCAATCTTTCAAAATAAATATCAAGACAGTTAATAATGTTGTTAGTTTTACCATCAGTTCAAGCCCGAAAGGGCAACAGAGTCGCGTGACAGACACAGTGATGATGCAGTACACAAGCCGCGGTTAAAACAGCTGACCTGCTATGATTTCTGGCAGGCAGTTCACTCTCCTGTGATGTGACCCTGTTCCCCTCACACACACACACACGAGACACGTTACTCTGCACTGCGCAAAACTCCGCATTTGAACAGTCAATAGCAAATACTTAAACTAATAACAAAACATACTTACATACTTTTTTTTTTTTTTTTAGAAATAGCCTTTGTGCACAGCCAGCCTTGTACTCTTCTAGGTTCATAGGTTCAAAGTCCATAAAATGCGTTGCACAAATTCGAACATCTGGGTTGTGCTGTTCTGTTGTAAACAAATCTTAACCACTTAACCAATATTGCATCTACTGTGCACGCCTTCTTTCTTTGCGTGCACATTTGGGCGGCATTATGCTAATATTTCCACATATTGACTTAGATATGTGGGGGCGTGTTAGAACGAGCCGTTTTAGGTAGGCGTGGTTGACTTAACTTTTATAAAGAATATCTCTTTGGATTTGAGACTTTAGTCTTTGCAACTTTATAGATCTTCTTTATGCACCAAGAGCTTGTAACACTCCAAAGAGAAAGGAAAACTTGAAATCGCATCATATGACCCCTTTAAACAAAAACTCCCTTAATTTTGATATTTTTTTTAGAAAACAAGACTTCTTAAGATATATCTTACAAAATGTCAATCATTTTGCTCAATTGTATCTTGATTTAGGTATTTGTACTGTAAAGACAAAATACTAAGCAAGAAGATTTACATTTTTTTTTTTTGCAGTTGAAATGCATCTGCACATTCAGTCTGGGCCTGGTTAGCAGCACCGCTAATGCTTGGATCATGTAAGCTGCTCTGCCTCATGTGCAGGATTAAGAGTAATAGTGAGTTTACAGGTGCTTTCAGTTAAACTTTTGATACATTAACTGTGAAACTATGAATGTTCCCCATGGCAAAAAATGTTGGCACATTTGAAACAGCCCATATACAAAGTGAAGACATACTGCGTTAAATTGATTTAAAGTGATTTACCATTTGCTTTTCCAATTTGTCACCTGGATCTGTAGGTTTAGATTTGCGCTCGGTGATACAAAACAGGCACAATGGTTCATTGAAATTCACAAAACTTACTTGCACCCCGTCACCCGAACACATGAACGAAACCATCGTATGGAACAATAAACAATTGGAGCTACTTTTTTTTTTTTTTTAGAAATAGCCTTTGTGCACAGCCAGCCTTGTACTCTTCTAGGTTCAAAAAACTGTCGTCCATAAAATGCGTTGCACAAATTCGAACATCTGGGTTGTGCTGTTCTGTTGTAAACAAATCTTAACCAATGATTCCTAATTGCATCTACTGTGCACGCCTTCTTTCTTTGCGTGCACATTTGGGCGGCATTATGCTAATATTTCCACATATTGACTTAGATATGTGGGGGCGTGTTAGAACGAGCCGTTTTAGGTAGGCGTGGTTGACTTAACTTTTATAAAGAATATCTCTTTGGATTTGAGACTTTAGTCTTTGCAACTTTATAGATCTTCTTTATGCACCAAGAGCTTGTAACACTCCAAAGAGAAAGGAAAACTTGAAATCGCATCATATGACCCCTTTAAACAAAAACTCCCTTAATTTTGATATTTTTTTTAGAAAACAAGACTTCTTAAGATATATCTTACAAAATGTCAATCATTTTGCTCAATTGTATCTTGATTTAGGTATTTGTACTGTAAAGACAAAATACTAAGCAAGAAGATTTACATTTTTTTTTTTTGCAGTTGAAATGCATCTGCACATTCAGTCTGGGCCTGGTTAGCAGCACCGCTAATGCTTGGATCATGTAAGCTGCTCTGCCTCATGTGCAGGATTAAGAGTAATAGTGAGTTTACAGGTGCTTTCAGTTAAACTTTTGATACATTAACTGTGAAACTATGAATGTTCCCCATGGCAAAAAATGTTGGCACATTTGAAACAGCCCATATACAAAGTGAAGACATACTGCGTTAAATTGATTTAAAGTGATTTACCATTTGCTTTTCCAATTTGTCACCTGGATCTGTAGGTTTAGATTTGCGCTCGGTGATACAAAACAGGCACAATGGTTCATTGAAATTCACAAAACTTACTTGCACCCCGTCACCCGAACACATGAACGAAACCATCGTATGGAACAATAAACAATTGGAGCGAGGGCAGCTATGCATGCACTATCTGCCAAAGGTTTTCTGCCACAGCTTGAGGCTGATGTGTGATGTTCAAATGGCACTAACAATTTTCTTCTGTCAACAAAAGAAAAGCCTCCACCCTGTCCCAGCTGAGGGACACGCTGCCGCCAGATCTATGAAACTCCTGGCAAAGATTCCCAAGGATGCCGAGGCCACTGTGGTCTTAGTGGGTAAGCAAAGCAGCATTTCGTTCCAATGTTTGTTGTTTTCAGGTCCAGAGAAGATGTTGAGTCATCGCACCAGAGTTTTCCAATAATGCCTCAGTCAGCTAAGCGAAGATGAATGCTTTCTGTTGTGTTTATTTTCTGTCACTGGATCCCTGTTTGTGTGGTTTGATTTTTTACCTCAATAAATGTGTTTATAGGGTGTGTGGAGTTCCTAGAGAAGCCCGCGATGGCCTTTGTCCGGCTTAACGAAGCTGTGCTACTCGAGTCCGTTCTGGAAGTCCCCGTCCCGGTTCGGTTCATCTTTGTGCTGCTGGGCCCCACGCAGACCAACATGGACTATCATGAGATTGGACGCTCCTTCTCCACCCTCATGTCTGATAAGGTTCATCTTCATATATGTACAATATGTATCATGGTTTGCAAGTTGTTAGGGCCAAACACCAAAGATGTGTAGAGACAAATTGTATCTGGTCATTTTCTGCTGTTCAGTTTTTTTCTGGAAATATTGTGGTCAGTATCTGGAATCTTATAATGCAGTTGTTCTCAAGGCCTTTTTGAGTCCAACAACAATGTTCAAGGCCCCATGACTTTTCCATTTGTTTGTTCTTTTAATCAGTTTCATAAAAATTAAATTAGAACTTTAAAATGCTTTGGCCCTAAATTCACATTTCTCCATTCTAAGTTAAATGATACCCTTTTTGTCAAGTTTCAACTTATGACCTCTCCGACATATTGAAATTTATTGAAAACCCTTTTTTATTTATTTATTTATTAATTAATTTTTTGTCAAAATTACAAAAATGATCAGATGATCTTTAGACCAAACCTCACAAAATTACCAAAGAAAGAAATTCTACAAATTTGATGACAACGCTAAAAAACTAAAAGTAGGATTCTGTCTTGGCTTTGTTTTTGAATATTGAAATTAAACTTTGCATGTGTCATTTGGACCATGGCCTGATGAGAAGTTTCAGGACTGCCAAAAGTTGTTAAAGGGATAGTTCACCCAAAAATGAAAATTAGCCCATGATTTACTCACCCTCAAGCCATCCTAGGTGTAGATGACTTTCTTCTTTCAGACGAATCCAGTCAGAGTTATATTAAAAAATGTCCTGGCTCTTCCAAGCTTTAAAATGGCAGTGAATGGGTGTTGAGATTTTGATGCAAAATAAAGTGCATCCATCCATCATAAAAAGTGTCCCACATGGGCTTACGTTACACCTACGTACTACGTCATCCACTGGAACGCCACTCTCTCGTGAACGCGCGTATGACAGTTAGTGGAAGCTAGAGATTACGGTTTATAAAGTTTTAAATATGGATAGTCATGCACACCTAAAATAGCTTTAGGGTGAGTAAATCATGGGGTAATTTTCATTTTTGGGTGAACTATTGCAACGATTAATCTCCTTGTGACTTTTAATCCACTCAGGTTCACTGTTTTTCCTGACCTTCCACAGAACTTCCATGAAGTCGCGTACTTCGCTGATGATCGACAGGACCTGCTTAATGGCATCAACGAGTTCTTAGACTGCAGTATTGTAATTCCACCATCAGACGTTGAGGGAAAAGACCTGCTGAAGACCGTGGCCTCCTTCCAGAAGCAGATGCTTCGTAAGCGCAAGGAGAGGGAGCTTAAAAAATGCGGCAGTACTGTGACGGGAGCTGAGCTGGAGACCAAAGGTGGAATACTTTCTGCATTTGTGATTACATTTTCAAGTTTGTCTGTTCTGTTAATGTTGACCTGTTCTGTTTATGTTGTAGATGTGAGTACGGATGAACAGGATGAGGAGGATCAGTTTGATGTTGACCCTCTCAAGCGCTCTGGTATTCCCTTTGGAGGTCTGATCCACGATATCCGCCGCCGTTATCCACGCTACATAAGCGACCTGAAGGATGCCATGGACACACAATGTTTTGCTGCTGTCATTTTCATTTACTTTGCTGCTCTTTCACCCACTATCACCTTTGGAGGTTTATTAGGCAAGTGAGACAAGGAGACTCTTGTCCCTCGACTTATCTTTTATCTTTGACAGTGGAGTCTTTTAGTATAGAAGCCCAAAAACACAAAAAGTCACAAAAAGTTGAAATTGACATACTAAGTACTATTTATGAGATGAAAAGAGTCATAATTATAACATAGTTTGTCATTATTTTGACTTGTTATATCATAAAAATGACCTGGCATGTCAATTGTTACTTTTTATCTCATAATTATGATTTTTTTTAATTATAACTTTGACATAATAAATGAATAAAAGTGTCATAATTTTGACTTTGTATGTCATAATTATGAGATAAAAAATCATGATGAGCTTGTAAGTCAGCAATGTCTTTTTTTTCATAATTTTGCCATCTCAATCTTTTGTTCCTTTTCAATTAAAATTTTGAATTTGTCATAATTCACTTTTTATCTAATTATTTTTTAGTCTTAATTTTGACTTATGTCTTAATTATGGATATCTCTTCAGTTTGATTTCTCTATTTCATTTTGTTCTTAATCATTTGTCTTATTTATATGATATAAAAAGTCATAATTATGAAATTGTCATAATTGTTAGTTTTTAAATCTCATAATTATGGCTAAGTATGTCATAATGCTGATTTTATTGACTATTTTGACTATATGTCATAATTATGATTTACAAAAGCATGAATTATTTTTATTTAGGTGACAGAAATGTGCTTCCATACTATAATTCCATATTCCCGTTTATTTAGGCGAGAAGACACAAGGCATGATGGGAGTCTCTGAGCTCATCATCTCCACGGCGACCCAGCTCCTGTACTGCCTTCCTTCAAACCCATAGACCCTCAAGGGCATAGTGTGATTGGGAAACCCATCCTCAACCAGCCAAACACAGCCCTGCTGTCCTTAGTGCTCATGATAGGAACCTTCTTTGTGGCCTTCTTTCTGCGAAAATTTCGTAACAGCAGATTCCTTGGTGGAAAGGTATGTAGTGCAGTGTTATTTTGTCAGCACAATGAAATCAGCGTGATGTGCTGTATCAGCTGTGCTCATTTGTGTGACATTTATTACGCATAATGGCTTTATGCAAAATTTACTTAAATTCAAATATTTGTAATGCTCTGTAACAGTTAGGGCTGCATGATATATTGAAAGATCGCAAATTTACGTATCACGATATGCATATCGCAGTGGCATGTGATATCTGAATTATTTAGGCAGCTTTAAAACGTTGCGAAAAGTCAAAGTTTTAGGTTGAAATAAGAGAATAGACTGAAATAACCTTTGTAGCTTTATTATGAATCAAAGTATAATTAATTAATGTGAAGACTATGCAGTGTTTTAGTTGTACATTTGATTATTCAGTTTCTGTATTGTTTCTTACTTGAATGCTACTGTTAAATATATCTAATGTAGGCTTACCTGAAAGACTTAAAGCACTGTTTATTTCATTTGTATCTTTGTTCTATTGTTTGTAGTTCTTATTTTTAATAACAAAGATAAATTAAAATAACAAAAATAACTAATCGTCCACGCCTAGTTTCAGGTGTTTTTGTTTACCTGGATGATCTTGATGTTAAGTTTTAGGTTGATATAACTATATATTACCAAGTAGGGTTGGGCCGATCGCCGATGGCTGATAGACATCACGATGTTGAGCCGGCATCGTGACCCCACCCCCCCCCTCACCCCCCCACACCATTATACTACATATATATTTCGGCATCAGGGAGCCGCTATTATACCTGGCATTGAAACTGGCATCGTGCTTTTGAATTTTAGTTTCACTTTCACTTTCGAGATTCGCGATCGCACATACTCTGATTATACTATGGAGCGGCAGTACTTGCCACACATTTTACAAGATTATATGTTTGTCAGTGGTACTGAGGATCTGCAAATCATTCGCCATCGTCCTCAGTCATCTCTCCTTACTCTGTTTATGTGATAAGTGAAATTTCATGTACTGTAGGATGTAACAGGCAACCGTTACACCGTGTCTACATCGGAAGCGACAGTTGTCGTGCCGCGCCGCGCCGCATCAGCTAAAGTCTGTCTACACTGGACGCGATAAAGCGACCGTTGAAAATCATTTGAAATTTGTGTCAGCACTTCATAAATAGAACGCGGCAGCAGTTTACTGTCAGGGATTTGTCGTGTCGCGCCGCATCCAGTGTAGACAGCATCACTGATTATGATGAGTTCTATAGACTGATCTATATATAATAAATCTCTATTATAGATCAGTGGTTCTATAGTATTTTGTCGCGCCGTGCCACTCGCGTCCGGTGTAGACACGGTGTTAGGAATCGTGTTTTCCCGTATAAGGATTCACACTTGGGGCACACCCCCTAACACTTATCCCACACCACTCCCCCCACTCGCCCCCGCCCCCACCGATGTCATCGTCCATCGCGATGTTTCACTGTAGACATCGTCCGATGCCAATTTTGTAGACATCTCCCAACCCTATTACCAAGTTGAGCAGAGTGTTTAGTATTTAAATACTTGCATTTTTTATTATTATTATTTTTTTTTTAAATATTTATGTTAAAATTACATTTTCAGATTTGTGACGTTACTTTTTATGTAATGCTAAAACACTGCTGGTCACTTTTAGAAGTTATAGCAATGCTTTCTTTTCCAAGAAAGAATGTGAAACATATAAATTGGTTATATAATTTTCAGTCTTTAAATATTTGTAAATATAATTTAAATTGATTTCACGCACTTAAAGCAATGTCATATCACATATTGAATATCGTTATTTAACAAGGTATCGCATATCGCATTTTTCTTCAATATCGCACAGCCCTAGTAACAGTTTAAGCTTATTAAATGTTAAAAATGATGGCACAAATTTTACTGTTGTTAAATGGCTTTATTTACTTATTTTATCCACAGAAATTGATTTAAAAAAAACTATTTGATAAAATAAAAATCAATTTAATAGAGGCATCAGTATTGGTATCTGTAATAGTTGCCTTCATGCATAGTATTTAAGTACATAGTACTCTGCGTAAGTACTTAACTTTTTACCTTAGTACTAAAAAAAGTTGCCATTAAACAAAAATGTTAAATATACAGTCTTTATGTTGTTTCTACAATAATTTGGAGATTCTACAATAATGTAAAAATATGTTTATGATTACAAATTTGAATGTTAGGCATGATTAATCGTGATTAATTACTGAAAAGTGATTAATTAGTTCATATATTGACCATATATATATA